TGGACTCGCCGATTCACTGTTCGGACTCGCCGATTCCGTACAGTGAATCGGCGATTCACTGTACAGAATCGTCCGGTTCTCTCTAGAACCGGACGATATCCGATTTTTTAAGCAATCCGATCCCCTTTTTACGATTTTCGAGTCGAAAGCGTTTTTTAAAACACTGGTGAAGATGATGGCGTTCGTACAGTACATAAACAAGGGAGGGAGATAGGAGATTTGTTGTGCCAAATTTAGTGATTGGATGCGACACTCCATATTATTTTTTATTTTTTGTTTTTTTGACACTCCATTTCTACTTCTTAAAAAAAAAAAAAAAAAAAGGAGTGGCGAGAAATTAAAGACATAGGATTGATGGGACGCTCAAAACTCATCATCTTATCAGACTCCTTGAACACTACTAAACACTCAATCCGCGCTAGTCTTGATGTGTATCAGTCTCTAAAATCATGCATCTGCTACTAAAGCAATGCCAATACCAGAGAGAGGGCTCTCTTTCATCCACACTGACTCACAAAACGCAGACGCTAGATGTTCAATCGAATTCACTCCTCATTTCCTAATCATTCTTCACATACATCCATCTGTTTTCTTGCTTTTCAAATTGATATTCATTTTGCGGAATCAAGCTCTCATCGAAGGCCATGCTCAGTCCGAACCGAGCATTGGATGAGTTGGGGCCTCACCCCCTTCGCCGGAGGAAGAGCGGGAGGGGCTCAATCATGTTCTGGACATCAAAAGCCAGGAAAAAGAGTAGTTCGTCCCCCTACGACTCGCAAGAGCCCTCATCCCCGAAAGTCACCTGCATCGGCCAGGTGAGAGTCAAGAAGAAGGACCACCACCACCACCATCAAAGAGAAACATCTCTTGGCCCCCGACGCACCGGCCCTATCAACATTAAAGACAAATACAGGAACAAAGACGACATACGCAACCGCTGCCGCCACTCCTGCTGCTTCCCCATCTCCTTGTGCGACTGTTTGGTCTTTCACCATGTCCCGAAGAACTCTCCTCCTATTCCTATTGCAATCCATGGAAGTGGAAAAAGGAACAGTGGGCGGAAATGGGAATCCGGCAATGCAGCAGCAGCTGTGGCAGCAAGTGAGCACGAGCCACCTCCTCCTCCTCCAAGAAATGCTCTGGTGTTGATGAGGTGCCGATCCGAGCCTCTCAGGACCTTGCCGTCTCTTGCTAATTCGCCCACATCCGAAGAGCAACAAGGTAAGGATTGTTCATCATCAGGTGTAGAGTTTGGTGGTTATAATAGTGAATCACCAGAGGAGGTGCAGAAGAGCTTGAAATCAGATTGGGAGAAGGGGGAGAGAAGGATAATGCTGACGAGGTGCAAGTCTGAGCCGGCGCGGAGATGTTGTCCAAGGGTGGTGGTCGGTCCTGACGAGGCCTGCTTTTGGAAGGCTACCAGATTTGGATTAGGGGACGATGAGAGATCGCCATGGATTTTCTTCTTCTGATTCTTTGTTTTTCCCTTCCCTTCTCACTTGTGAGTTATGAAAATATTATAATAATTAAAAGCTTTTAGAAATAAGTTAAATGTTGAACCCTACAATCATTTATTTTTTTTATTTTTTATTTTTTTATTTTTTATTTTTTTTATTTTTTTTTATTTTTTACTTGTCCAATTTATTTCAATTTTAATTAGCCGAATTATAAAAAGAAAAGGGCAACAATAAGAGTGTAAGAAAAGGGCAACAATAAGAGTGTTACTTGTTAGGGGAAATACTAGGCCTTGCTTCAAATTAATATTCATTTAAATTTTATGAAGTGAAATTTCGTATTATTGTTGGATCTATTTGTGAATTCTGAAAGTAGCGAAAACCAAAAAATTAAAAGATCAAAGAGGTAGGGCATACCATTTTCGGATCTGATTCCTCTCTTGTAGTTGGGGTCGACCTTCTATTCTTTTTCGAGTGTAGTTTATATGGTTCGAGAATTTTGTACCAACAATTTTAATTCAACTTTTGATTACTAAAACCAGATTAAATTTTGAACCCCAAAACCTAAGTTAAAAAGAAAAAAAGAAAAACAGATTGGTCACATGTAACGGCCATCTCAAAAACAGTGTCAGATCGATGGATCGATGATTCGTGTCGGAGAATCGGCTAGATTAGCTAGATCTGGCATTAAAAAAATTTCAATATATTATTAGAATTTTTTTTAAATCTTGTTTTTTAAGTTTTCAGAAAGAAAATAATAGTATTGTACTATACTTTTCATTATTTTTCTAAAAAAACATAAATATTGAGAACACATCTCAGGTTTGAGTGTTTGTTATCTATTACATGTATTTTATGGTGAAAATAAGATTTAAGATACAACTCATCGCAATAAGTGGATCTCTTAAATTCAATTTTGTATAGTGAAAAAAAAAAATATACTATAGTTTTGGACCTTTTCATTTAATAGAAAGAGAAAAAAAATCGAAGACCCTCGCAATGAGCTATCGTGTTTTTATTAAGGGTGCGGTTTGTATAGAGCCTAGGATCTAAACAATCAAATTAGAGCCTACCTTAAAATAGTGTAAAAAAATGTGGTTTCAATACCCGAAATCTTTATGATAACCTTACAATAAATTTTCATCTTTATTTATAAATTGTAAAGCTTCAAAAATAGCATAGATCAGCATATCTATGAAGAATTGAAAATCATGAAAAAAAAAATTTGACAAATGTTCAAAACTTTTATTGATGACTAATTAAAAGAGATTACATCATAAGAGATCAAAAGCGAAGGCAACGAAACACCCCCCTTAGCCAAAGAGTCAGCTAGTGAGTTTGCTTCTCGGTAAACATAGGAAAAAGAAAATGAAAAAGGTTCAACCAGGTCCATGATTTGCAACCAAAGAGAGCGAAGCTCCAATAGAACCCAATATTCTTTTTTGCACAACTTAATCATATCCAAAGAATTCCCTTCAACCCAAACATTCGTTCTCAGATTCTTCTCAAACAAAATTTTCAACCAATACAAAAGAGCACTTAATAAACATAATTTGTTGTTTTGGACCCAATCGGAACAACAAAGGAGAGAATTGTAGAACCCAAGGAGTCACGCACTAGACCACCAATTCCAGCAATGCCGGGGTTTCTTAGAGAACTCCCATCAAAGTTAAGCTTAATACATCCAGCAAAAGGAGCAGTCCAAAAATATCGTGGTCTACTCCGAGCACACCCAAGGAGAAAGAGGCAGCTAAGGTTTGCCATCACATCAACTTTTGGAATCCCCCACCATTCTTTTGTCACAGACAACCATAACCAAATCGAGTGCTTGATGTTTGTTAAAAGTTTCTCAAAAGGTAAGGAGTTACCTTCAAAGGTTCTTCTATTCCTCTCCTTCCATATTTCCCAAAGGATGACACCTTTAGAGATTTTCCAAATTGATTTACCTATCGCAGGCAAATGGGTGTTTGCATGAAAATTGCAGGGCCAAAAATGTGTTACAAAATACGTTTTCCAAAACTTGAAATCCTTTGTTGTTTTTTTTCTCATGTTCATGCATCTTGATGTCAAGATGATCAATTTGAGGATATTTGTGCATCAAAATAACCTTTTTTAGTGAATTTTTTGAAGTAGGTTCTAATTTGATTCTTTAGAGCCTTGGCTCTATATAAACTTTTCCCTTTTATTTAACGACAATGATGATCAGGGAAACGCCAATGACCCTCCATTCCTGTTTTCTCACTGTACATGCTTTCACTGTTATAACTTTTTTTTTGGTATTTCTTTAATGAAGGTTTTTTTTTTTTAAACAACCTAAAATTTCAAATTAGTTAAATAATTTCCAAAATCTCACCGTATAGTTACACTTAAATAAATAAATAAATAAATAGATAAAACCTTATTCACTATATAGGATTTAGCAAATAAAAAATACATATTGCCAAATAAATATAAAATTGAAACATGAATTTGCTATCACATGAAATTAGATAAATAGATAAATTTATACTTCAATGGATAGAACAACTTCAAATCATATTTTAAAGTAGGCCTAGCGATTAAAGAAACTCCATGAACTACTATTAGTTTTGAACCCGGTTTCTATGCAGCCAGCCCGCATATGTAGAAATATGGGCTTCTTGATAAATCTATTTTTGAGGTGGATTTTAAAACTTAATTTTCAAGGACGTGGAATCTCTAGCATGGAGATCATGAATATGAAAAAAAAAATACATTTTAAAAATTAAAAATAATAATTCTTGTAAAAAAAAATTTGAACAGTTAGTTTCTAATATTTTTTAATGGAACACCTACTTGCATCCATCTTTAAGATAGATGCTTTCATCCATCTTTAATAGGGTGTAGTTTGTATGGAGCCTAGGCTCTAAACAATCAAATTAGAGCCTACCTTCAAATAGTGTCGAGAAATGTGGTTTCAATATTATTTATAAAGTTTAAAGCTTAAAAAATAGTGTAGATCTATAGATCTATGAAAACTTGAAAATCTTGAAAATTGATGGTCCAAAAATACGTTACAAAATACAATATTTCCAAAACTTGAAATCCATTTTTTTCTCTTGTCCATGCATCTTAATGTCGAGATGATCAATTTGAGGATATTTGTGAAAGAAAGACTAATGCGATCTTATTGGGGAATATATTTTTTTATTTTTCTTCTTTTCGTTCCTTTTTTTTTCTTTTTCTATTCTTTTGGCAAAGATCACTTATAAGTAGTCTTATTACAATAATTTTTGCTTCAAAGAAAATAAAAATAACAAATCCAATATCTTAAAAACCTTGATGCTATTAAACTAATTTTTTTTAAACAAAGAAAATATCCACAATTCTTATGATTGAGAATATAAAGACAACATAATTAAATATGACAAGAAACAAAAAGAGACTGCCAAAGATTACCTCAACCGAGCTTATTATACCCACACCGAATCACCACCATCCGATAGCGCGAGATCAATGATCAACCTTCAATCTCAACTGGGAAAGCAAGTTTAGGCCAAGCCACACCAATACAACATGAACCCCTAGGATCACAAACTCAAACACTAGATGAATTCCTGTAACAACCTAGTTTGAGACAGATTTATTCTCTTTTTGCTATACCCTAGAACTGTTAGCCATAAATCCATAGTTGGGAGATGGGAGAGAGAAGAACCCCATAGGCTAAACCCCCTTTTTACAATGTGGGCGAGAGAGAGATCAAAGATGAGAGAATGGGACGTGCCCGCTTTAGGCTTTTTTGATAGAGAGAAACTTTCTTAGGAGAGAGATAGAAAGATAAGGTATAGAGATTTTGGGCGGAGACAATCCTTTTTTTATAGGCTTTGAACAAGATTAGGGTCTCTTAGGGTTTTCCTTGGCTTACCACTTCTTGTGAGATTGAATATGAACCATTGATCTTGTTTAACTTGTTGGGTGAGAGATTTGAGCCATTCATTCCATAGATGGGTCATCAACATTATGGAATGTGCTAGAACCTTTATCCCCCTTTCGTAAACCATTTTCCCATCAATAGAAATAAAATTAAACAATTCCAAATATAATATTGTGTAGACCAAAATAATATACCAGCCTTCTCATACTTTCTAAAAATTCACTCAAAGCCTCCTCAAGCCAATACATTTCCAAAACACATAGCAACTTCACCTACAAGCCAAAATCACTTATCACAAAAATAAAAAGCTTCTAAATGGGTGGGGCGTGCTACCCATGAGAGGTTCTCATGGGCCCCACTATCTAGGTCATAGTGGGCCCATTTGCACAATGGCCCCCCATGCAATTTTAAATATTTTTAAAACTCAATAAAATAATTTTAGAATTTATTTGACTATTTAAATCAATGTAAAATCAATATATTTGATTTTATAAATCCAAAATTGATAAATAAAATATTCAGAGATCTAAAAAAATTCAAATAATAATTTTAAAATCATATATATCATAAAACAAATATAATTAAATTCATTTATTTGAAAATGATCTATATGGTCTAGGAATTATATCAATCAAATACTAAGGCACTCCACCTTCAACTGTGGACTACAAACCACACTTGTTTTATCAAATCAACCCAGTGTTTTTCATGACCCACGGTCTATGCAGGGGCTCATTAGTGGGTCACCAAAGTCTGCCCAATGAACCAAGGGGTCGCAATCCCAGTATGTGGATTTCAAATTCTCCCCTAGAAACGGGCCAAGGTCACCCAGACCTGATGTGACCACATTTCCTATGATGCTAGGGGTATCTGTCGCACATGCATACGCTTCACCCGAAAAGGTGGCTTGCTTTCTCGAAACAATCTATCAATATGCATACCGTGTGATGGTACATGGATGAGGCTTTGGCCCCCGTTTCTAAAGGCCACCATCATACACATGGGTCACACAGTCACTCTACTCACTCATCCGAGCATACTCTGACCTCATCAAGGGATGACCCATTAGAACCTTTATTGGTTTATACTCTATGCCTAGGTAATATGGGTTTTTTTCAATTGACTGGCCTAGACCATCAAGCACAGTCCGGTATCAGTAAACATCGTTTACGTAGTATGGTCCACGAGTGACCACACTCC